GTGGCAAGACTGCGGGGTGGCCCGTAGCATTAGTTAGCAGATAGTGTAGAAGTGTTGTAAGACTATAGGGTGGCCCGTAGCGTTCACTAGTTGGCAGATAGAGTAGGAACGTTGTAAGACTGTGGGGTGGCCCGTAGCATTCGTATATTGGTATAGTAAGACTGCGGGGTGGCCCGTAGCACTCGTCTGTTAGCCGTTAGTATATTGGTATAGTAAGACTGCGGGGTGGCCTGTAGCATTCATTAGTCGTCAGTTAGTATGGGAGCATAAGACTGCGGGGTGGCCCGTAGCATTCGACGGTCCCTATTCGGCAGTAAGAATGTATCAGATGCGTGATTCACTTGTGGAGTTCTTCAGATGGGTTAGACCAGGGCAGGAAAGCCCGCACGGATGTGAGTAGGCCACAATATGATTGGATTCGGGAAGCGGTATGTCGTTGAAGACCAGGAGTGATGTAAGACTACAACAGTTCTAGTTGCATTCACCTTTTATAGTAGATTCGGTGGCAACGAGTAGTCGGACGGTATGATCAGAAGGATCAGCAGGAATAATGGAGCCATGAGTGGCAATATGGTTTGAGCAGATTTCGATAGTCGAAGTTTTCTTCGGAAGTCGCTAGGAGCGACTGAGATAGTGTTCTTTAGTACAACAACCGGGTGGGAATCCAGTACTTCAGATAGTTGACGGATAAGTTGGGACCAGGGAGGTCTCGGTACAATTAAATAGTGGATAAGAGGCAGCGTGATGTTCAGACATGAGTAGTGATTACGAGGGTTCTAGTGCATGGGGTAGCTTGCGGATCAGAAGAGAGAAGACACTTACAATTGGATTGGATAATCTCAGAGTAATTGATTTGACCTGATTGTGCAGCTCTCGTCTGAGTCTAACCGTTTCAGGGATGGATCTCCTACTCGAAGGATTTTTTGAGCCTCCTGTCAAGTATAAGTATTCTACAGCTGGTCATGGACAGGGATTGTGTTTCTGGTGATAGCATCGAGATAATCAGGGTGATAAGTTTTATGGTTGAACAATTATTCGATGAGGTTTTGGCATGGTAATTTTTGGAGCATAGGCGGTCCGTCAGGGAGACAGGCCATTATGGAACTCAGATCTTGGAAAGACAGAAGTAGTTCTCCGTATATCAGTAAGGATAATCTTTCGTTAGGTTTGGAAGGGTTCGATGGTTGGGCTCAAATGCCTTGGGAAGGCCATTGATTGCGCATAATGATATTGATACTTCCAGGATGATGAGTGTTGGTGGCGGTGGAAAACACCAGTGGTCTAGGACAGGTAGGAGAAGAGTTGCGGGAGTGTCGCGTGAGATGTTTTCGGGATAGGTAACTGCAGGTGACTTCGAGGACGAAGTCTAGTTTAAGTGGGGGAGAGTTGTAACACCCAGAATCTAGAAGGCCAACTAAGGAAAGTAAAATCCCAAATCAAAAGGCAACTCGTTGAGTCCAAGGAGGAGAACTCGACGAGTATGAATAGATTTGGGACGCGAGTTGGGAAACCTACTCGACGAGTTAAAGGGACCAACTCGATGAGTTGGTCTGGGTTTGGGAAACCCTAAATCGGAGTTTTTGTACCTTATTTAAGCATCCTATTCTCCACCTTTCAGCCCCATTTCCAGCCTCCATTGTCCAAACCCTAGATCTCGAACCCTAATACTATAGTGAGCCATTTTTGAGTGTTCTTGTGAGTGTTGAAGCTTGGGAAGGACAGAGAAGCTTAGGGGAATCAAGAATAAGCTAGTAGATCCAGAAACATCTTGCCTTTCTCATCATTTCTGGGTAAGAAAATCTCCACCTTGCTCATTGAGTACTTAGATTTTCTTAGCACCTTTTTCAAGTGGGTTTTGGTCACAGAAGCTTGACTCTTGGGATTTGGACGTCCCAAGAAAGGAACACCTCAGATCTAGTGTCTAGAGGGTCTCTCATGGCATAAAGGTGCAACTTTATGGCCATGGAAGTGCCATGCAACCTCCAAGCCTCTATTTTGGTCTTTTTAGCCCCAAAAGGCCATGCATGTAGATAAAGCTTGAAGATTTACGTGATTTTCTTGCCCCTAGAGTCTAGATCTACAACCCTATGGGTTATCTTACAGTTTTGGTGAAATTTGGATCAAGATCTAAGTCTTAAAGGACTAGGGTTTGAGCTATAGCCATTAAGTGAGAGTATTAACGGGTAAAGCTGGAAATTTTACCCTTGAAAGGACATTTTCAGTGTATATGAGAAGTATGAAGCTTAGATATGAAGAGTAGGGGCTTAATCCATTAAGAAGGCCTAACAGACTAAGGAACTCCGCGAGTCCAAGGAGGGACTCGACGAGATGAGTTGGTTTGTCCCGATTCTGTACAGGAGGAACTCGACGAGTCTGTGAAGGGACTCGACGAGTTGGTTCGTGTTTTCGTGACTACGAGTAGCAGCGGAACTCGACGAGTCATGGGGTCAACTCGGAGCATTGACTTTGACAGTTGACTTTGACTTTGACCAAGGTTGACATAGTTTGACTTATGAAGGCATTTGGACAAGAGTATGTGAGGGGTGGAATGGTATTCTACCCCAGTGAGGATTTATGGTTAAGTTATAAGAATCCCAGACTTATCTAAGTTGTATGATGATCGGTAGCTCGGGGAGTCGAGAGATCAGCAGTTCGGGGATCTGCTAGCTAGCAGTGAGGGATTTATTCGCGGGATTCAACAGTCAGCTTGTGAGGTGAGTCTCCTCACTGTGTGTATGGGTCTACGACCACAATGCCGACCCATTTAGTTTATGTATGGTAGGAAGACTCGGGGGTTAGCCTTAGGCACTATGTATGAAAGACCAGGAGGTGGCTCCTGGCACACAGTATGCTATTATGTATGGTAGGAAGGCTCGGGGGTTAGCCCTAGGCACTATGTATGAAAGACCAGGAGGTGGCTCCTGACACAATGTATGCTCATTAGCTAAGTAAAGTAGTATGTATGCTAGTTGTCTTTGTGATACTTGCATGGAAGACCAGGAGGCAGCTCTTGGCACTTGTCTGTAAGACCTAAGGGATGGCCCCCGGCTTGGCAAGAAAGACCATGTGGCGGCCCGTGGCATAACGGCAAGTCTATGTGCGGCACATATCAACTTATATGATATATGATTGATATGTATGGCTCACAGTTATGTATGGCTCAGTTGATATGTATGGTATGTGGTATCTGGGGAACTCACTAAGCTTCGTGCTTACGGTTTACAGTTTTGATTTCAGGTACCTCCAGCTTTCAGATAAGGAGCTCGGGACGAACGCAACGCATTCACCCATATTATTCTGCATTATGTGATCTTTGGGATTAGACTCTGATATTTGTTTTAAATGAAATGTTTTCAATGTCTGGAACAAAGTTATTAAGTGCTTTTCTTATATTAAAAATCAAAATTTTAGTCTTAAATTTTGGGATGTTACAGTAGACTTCAAGTCTCGCGTCCAACATATCCAATTTTCTACTCGATGAGTTTGGGGCCTCCAACTCGTCGAGTCCCTTAGCAAATATGAATAATTCTTATTTAAATACGTACCAGGAATCGGGCGTTACAAATTAGATCGATCGGATAAGGCACCCGAAGATCTCCAGAACATAATCCTGGTACATTGATGATGCATAAACCCCGTGTTCGTTGGCGATAGAAACTCGCAACGGACACTCTAACTCCCCAATGAGCGTATCAATCTCCCTACTAAACGATCGAGATACGAAGGGCCGACTCGGACCTGAGTCAAACAACACTAGAGCAGGCACAGAGTTCACTAGAAACGTACCTAACAGAGGCGCATATATAAGCATGACATAAAGCATAATCGACAAGATAAGGGATTGAAACATACCAATCACCACATCTGGAGTCGCTCTGGACTCTTCGACAGTGAGCTGAAAAGCACGACCTCAAGCCCTCGGGGGCTCCGCCTTCATGAGAATGTTTTATGTTTTAACATCTTCTTTCTACTTGTATGTTTTTATTCATGAGTTTAAATGAATTTATAGTGATTAGTTGGCTAATTTCTTGATTAAGTAATGGATCCTCAAATTAGCAAGCAACAAGTGGTTCTTGTGTTAGTTTTCACTTCACACAATCACAAAAATATTTTCTCCAACATGGAAGTGAAAACATTTGATTCCTCTTGGATTTGGTGACTTTTTGATTTTTAATGCTAGTTAATTTCCATTAATTACATGCTTGATGAAAATTGTGACTTTAACTAAGGAAATTGTTATCAGCTTCTCTATCTATCTTAATAACTAATAAAGTCTAGGTAATCTCAAGATTCTTGGATTGCTATATGCAAGTTAGAGATTTAAAATAAGTATTGCACCATTGGATTCTAATGATATATTCATCAATTGTTCAAGTGAGGGAACCTTAAGTCAACCATCTTTTTCTTATTTATTTTACATCAAACTCTTGTTTTTGTTGAATTGTCTATTTAAATCTTAGTTTAATTCTAGTTTTATTTCAAGTATTTCAAAAGACCAAAACCCCCATTTTTATTTTTATTGTCATTTTACAAGTATTTTTGCAAAGAAGTTTTCATAGAGTTATAAAATTGAACCAATCTCTGTGGATACGATCCCTTTACCACTATACACTATTTTAGTGTACAAGATTTAGGGTTATTAATTTTGTTGGCCTCAACAACCACCAGTCTTAGAAAATTATATTTGTTTTGGTATATACATTGATAAAAATAATTCAAGTTGTATGTTCCATTTTTTTCTATTAAATAAAAACATTTCTTTTGTAAAATATACAATATTCATATATTGTCAAATGTCATACGTTGGGTTGAAATTTTAAACCAAAAACTTCTTTTTTCGGAACCGACGTGAATGCAATTAAATAAAACAACCACAACCTAGTAAGGTGTCAGGAGGTGAAAAAACAAACAAGGTCTATGATACAACAAGACTAAAACAATGCAACACCATTACAAATTGGAAAAAGGATTTCAAGCCCAACTAACCCAATTGCAAATACCTTTATTTCCTTTATGTTTAAACCACAAGTACACCAAAACAATTATGTTGTCAGCCGTTTTTTTGGAGAGACTGTATCCTTGTTGAAAATTTTCTCATTTCTCGCCTTCTAGATAAGTCAAAGGGAACTATATAAAATGGTCAGTAACAACCTTCTTTTTTTAGGGAAGTTGCACCATTTAGCAGCAAAATTTATTAGATCATACACCTGTAAGATGGTAGGATGTTGAATATCGTACCACTTGAAGATCCAAAATAACGCTTCTTTGACGAATGGACAGACCATTAGGATGTGATCAACCGACTCAGAACTGCGCCTGCATAAAGAACAAAAAACCGAGATATTATTCACCCCTTTGTTCCTGAGGGCTGTTGCGGAAGGAATACGTCCCATGCGAGTATGCCATATGAACCAAACGACTTTCAGAGGGGCATAACTTGTCCAAGGAATTGAAGGGCCTAAACTAGTGGTTAACTTTGAATTGATTAAACTCCTTAAAGCATCTACTTGGAAAAAACCATTTGCTGTAAGAATGGATTTCCATTTATCAGGGGAAGTTAAAGGAATAAATCTATTGATTTCAAGATTCATTTGCTGTAATTCTAAAATCCCTGTGAAGCTGCTAGGACGATGAGACCAATTTTAAGAAATACCCGCATCAATGAACTTTTTAGAAATAAAACATATTTTCTGTTTGTCAAGATTATAAGGAGAAGAAAATCGATTCTCAAACATTTTAGGCCTCTTCCATTTATCTTTCCAGAATAGCATATTCTACCCGAATCCAACACAGATAGAGAAACAATCGCTAAAATTCAAGCCTGTCGCTTCTATATAAACAAGCACCTTAATGATGTTGTTCTAAACGCAGTTGATGGATTTTTTTAGCTATTTGTGAGAGCTCTTTCCTTTTAGAGTAATGTATGTATTCAATAACCCAACTCCAAAGGGATTTTTTCTCCATTTTTTTTTGTCTCCAAACAACTTCTAGTTCCAAATTAAATTTACTTAACATAACAGATAACCAAAAGGCTTAGTAAAACTATAACCAAAAATATGTTTTTCTTAACTCTAAAAGTCAAATAGAATTTTCTTTATTGAAATAATTTAAACTTGGATTAACTCATTTTGAAATGTTTCATATTAAGGCTAATAAGTGTAATATCTCGTTTTTCCTTAATAGATCAACTAAGATGTAACCAAATCAAAGATGGGGGTTTTGGAGAAACCCCTATGCCACGACGTGTTGCATGGATGCCCACAACATGGCAAGGTTAATATGGAACATGTATATTTGGTGGGCTCCACAATGTGGCAATAGGATGGCCACGACATGGCAGTCACTGCATCCCAAACCCGAGATTTTTAGGGTTTCTCTCATATATAAAAACTTAACTCCCATTCTAGGTCATCTTCTTCAACTCTGATCACTCTCAAACCTCAGAAACCCTAACCCTAATCACTTTTGGTGATTCGTGGTTCATTTTGGTACTTTTGGTAACTTGAAGAAGAAGAAAAAGGTGTTCTAGTGTGTTGATCCAACAAGGAAACCTCATCATCATCCTTTTGTAAGTGTTCAAGATCCAAGCTTTAAGTTCCATGCATCTAGATCTAGGTGTCTTGTCCCTTTTCATGCTAAATGAGGTCATTAAGAACTTAGGTTTAGAGGTTTTGTTTTATTAAGATGTCTTAATGGATAAAGTTGGAAACTTTATCTATCAAGACCTTGGAGGGTATCAGATTTGAGCTGTGGAGCTCTTAAGGATGAAGGAACAAAACTTAATCTATTAAGTTGTTTAGGACCAGTTCCAACGACGTGGCCTTCTGGCCGCTACGACGTGGCGACTGGGGATTAACCCAACTGTTTTGGCATTTTGTGACCACGGCGTGGCCAAAGGGAGGCCACGACGTGGAGGTTTGTTGATGATAATTATTGACCTTGACTTTGACCTTGGCCGTTGACTTTTTGACATGGGTTGGCTTTTGATCAAATTGCTATTTTAGAAGGTAGACTAAGGGTTTACCTTGTATGGTTTATTAGGAGGCGTGTAGCACCCACTTCTCGTTTGTATAAGCTGATAGTTGTAGATTTCTTCTGTGAGGTGAGTTTTCTTACTATACTTTGTATTGCAATATGTGTCTGTATGTGTAGGATGTTGTTATATTGTAGTGTTCTGTTAGACTGATAGAATTGCTATGGTTACATGTGTTTGCATGTTATTGTTTTGTGCATAGTATGGTTGGGTTGAGGTCGTACTGCTTTGTGTTGTAAGCCAACAAACTCTGGATCAATCCGGTCATAAGCTGAGGGTCGGGAGGGGCAATCTAGTCTTTTGTTGCGGGCTCGGGAGCAATCCAGTCTTAGGTTGTGGGCCCAGGGGCAATCCAGTCTTAAGCTGTGGGCTGAGGGGCAATCCAGTCTTCGTGTTTTGGGCTCGGGGGCAATTCAGTCTTCATGTTGTGGGCCAGGCGGCAATCCAATCTTCATGTTGTGGGTCCGGGGGCAATCCAGTCTTCGTGCTATGGGCCCGGGGGCAATCTAGTCTTTGTGTTGTGGGCCCGGTGTGCATGCATTGTATATGTATTGTTGTGTATGGTATTTTGGAGAACTCACTAAACTTTGTGCTTACGACTTATGTTTAAAAATATTTTCAGATACTTCTGGTTTCAAAAGGAAGGGTCTGGATGCACTGCATTTCCTCCTGAAGATTTATCCGCATTGACTATTACTCTGATGTTTTGAGAATACTTTCACTCTTATTGTCTCTTGGAACAAGTGAATGAATGATTTTGGAAATTATTTAAATGAAAATTTTAGTTAGTATTTTTGGGATGTTACAATAAGTGTATTTTTTGGTTATTAATATCTTTCAGCTTACTAAGGCTAATTCATGTACTTTCTTAGTTTTCACTATTTTTTTTTAATTTTATATCATCATCATCTTACATTCCCCTCATCCCATAACCGATAGAAAACCGTTACATCTCACTCCTTTTAGGCTGGTGGGTACAACTCCAAAACGTCATGTAGAGGCTGAGATGACACTCCTCCATGCTATAGCCACGCCAGAGAACACCACCCCCCTTAACACCATATTTCTTGTTGTGAAGATGACAACACATTTCAACACCAATGAAGAGAATGTGACAGTCATATGACCGTTCGTCGCTTAAAATTAAAATGTATGCTAAACATTTCCCAGCAAAAATCAAGTGGCAAGGAGAATGATATGACCCATGATGTAAAAAAAATGATGCATCGGTCTTAAAATATACAACAATGAGATATATCACATCATAATATCTAACTATATTATAAAAAAAATATATTTTGCATTTAAAACCTCAAGGACTTTTCAATTTCCAACTTAATATAATTAATCTATTAATTTGAAATATGTTATTAAATGCAAAATATTATATTATTATTTGTATACTTTTAAAGTTATTACAATACACTTATTTGTTAATTTAAATATTATATTAAATTCAAAACATAAATGAAAATATAAAATAAACTTAAAAAATATATTGAAATACTATTTTTCTAAATAATTAAAGATATTCAAATATTATAAATGTAGAACGACAAACCAAATTAAATAAAAAATGTTAAAAAAAAGTTTTTATTATAATCATTTTTCCAAATAATTGGTTTTTAGTTATTTTATTAGAAAAAATTACATTGTCTGATTTAAATTACAATAAATAAATAATTTTTAAATTAATCAATCATAACGTTAAATTGTAATAATAAATCAACAACCATGTTTAAGCTTATTTAAACGAAAAGCCCTAGTAGTTGCTAGTAAATAATATGGATATGATATATGTTTATTTTATAATATGGTTCAAAATATTACAAACTTAAATTTTATAGTTAATGTCTTGAAAACGTGAATTGTACAATGATATAAAGCCTGGAAAAAGAGAAAGAGTGCGGTGTTTTCTTCCTGCACGGGGATCTCACCACACACCAGGAGGTGTGGTGTTAACCGCAAATAGCAAAAATATAATTACTTTTAAAAAATGCATTAGGGAGAACACAATCGCAAGAAAAAGATCTCATAAAGTCAGCGGTTGTTCTTTTTCTGACACAACGGGTTTAACGAGTTAAACACATAAAACTGTATATTTTTACTTTGAGTTAAACGTGATGATCATTTGCAATATTCACAAATAAATTTGAATAAAAAAAAACCCAAATAAGTTGACACAAAACACATAATTAAGCACATTTCAAACAGAAACAGTGTTGTGATTTAAAAATTAAAAAAAAAAAAAAAAAAAAAAAAAAAAAAGTTGTAGCTAGCACAACAAAAAACACAAATGTCAACAGTTGGATAATCTAACACAAATACTTTACATCTCACATCAACTTACTTAAACTACTCCTAAACAACTCAAAACTGTAACCTAATTTACCTCCAAACATATGCTAGATTTAAACCCTACTACTAATTACCGATTTACCCCCAAAACGGGTGTGGGTGAGTCCTTGTTTCCTTTCATCTTTGTACATCAACATCATACCATTACGACTCAAAAACTTTAAAAAAAACAAAAAAAAACAAGAAAAGCCTCTTACCTTGATATGCTTCTGTTACACTCTTACTCAACAGTCTTACTCCTCATCTCTATCACCTTCCTGTGAGAATTGGAGTGCAGTGCCGGAACAAATGTCGGACTGGCGGCAGGGCGGTACTCCGGGAAGAGGCGGCCGGACCGATACCGGACCCCACACGCATTGCAAAGTGTTTTGGGGCCCATCGGTCCCTCCCTCCATTGTGGGGTTTTTGTTATCTCACAATGAGCACATTTCTTGATTCCGTTTCCCGTGACATTTGATCTTTTTATGAAAACCGGAATCTCGGATGCTGTTTTTCTCTTCCTTTCTTTGGATATCAGAGGTGACAGCAACCATGGATTGGTGGTGGGTCGGAATCGTTTGCTTCGAGATCTAACCGGAATGGAATGCTCGATTCCTAAGGAGATGGGTTTACTGTTTGAGCTGGAAGACCGATTTTCCAGGACTGAATTCGGGCTTGGTGCTTCAAAGGCTTCTTTTGGTTGAGAATGCAAAGCTCTATTATTCTGCAAAACAAGGAATTTTATCATTTTATGATTTTAGAAGGACTGATTATGAAATGTATTGAAACTTAAGAGGGGAAATTAAACTTACAAGCACGGGATACTCAAAGGGCAAATCTGTGGAAGGGACGAATGTATTGCTGACACCGAGTTCTTTGAAGACTTCAGAAGGTATAGGGCCGAGTTTAGAGGCCCAATCCTCTGCAAATCCATCGCCTTCCAAACCCTCCATCGGGAAATCAAACATGTTCAGTATGTCACCAAAACAATCCTCATCGTACACTCGATGATTTTGATTTTGATTTTGATTATAATCAACGCTCACACCAGAAAACGCAGATTCGGTCTTGCACATTCTCTTATCCTGGAACATAAAAGTGAACATTTTTCGTTATTATAATCGGAAAGAAGAAATTTTGGAAGTGGTAATACGTGATCGAAGATTTGGAGATTGATGGATCTTGGACTTTTCTGAAAGTTCGTGCGAACACAATGTGTAAGTGTAATGGGACAGAGAGATCTCCATGATCTATATTAAAATTAAAAAAAAAAAACATTCTTTTTATTTTATGGATCCAGATTATTGTTATTTAATGTTCAAACTTCAACTGCCGTTATGATATTTTTAAACATGAACCAAAATAATATTTCTGAATCAAACAGTCACATGTGACTTTCTTGTGACAGATGGATTTATAAAATAAGAATAAAAGTCGAATTATTTATTGCTACGTTTTAAAATTACAAAAAGATTTTTTTTTAATATAACCCGAGATTTTTTCTATATAAAAAGAAATATGCTTTACAGAATCCTGAATATAAATAAAAATTGAAACAAATCTGATGGTAAAATCAGAAAGGAAAAAAAAAAATCACACTTTTTTTACAATAATTGATCGGTGAAAATGTAATTGGTTAATTAAGAATTAAACATGAAGAGCAAATAGGCAATGAAAAATGAGTAAGTTTCTATAACAGTATATTTTCAACTTTCTACTCCAAAAAGCAAAACGACATCGTAATGGCAGCATAAGGGAAACTGGATACGGCTCATCAAACTTACCCTAAAAAGCACGAAAGCTATGGCCTCCGTCTGCGACGGAGAAACAACAAAAAAGCAAAACCCTAAAAACAGAACCAAAACAACACCTACTTTCTTCCTACATTTCACAGAAACCTAAACAAGCGACTGAGCACACTTTTCACGGAAATCAAGACAACAGAAACCTGAATCTAATCGATTGAGATCTCATATTCATATAACAATGGCGACAGAAGAAGAAAACTGACCTGTGACTCCATGGCGAATCCTCTTACCATAGCAAAAGCTCAGAGAGTTTTAGGTCGAAAAAACATAAACAATTGGAAAGATGGTGTAATTTGTAGGAGAAATTGGAAGAGAAGAGTGGTAAGATTAGGGCAAAGAGGAAAGGGGGAAATGAGAAATGGAAGGAGTTAATAGGGGTGATGGTGCATGGGACCATATGGTGGTGGGGGATGTAGGTGATAAAAGGAAAAAATAGGGGAGTAAATGTGAAGGGATTAATTACATTACAACAAAAAGGGGTCCACCATCACATGCATCGCCCCCACTTCATGGATCGGGTCCCGCGTTGCTTGTAATTCACCGACACCCCACATTACCCCCTCCAATTATTAATGCATCTTCGATTATTCCACTTCACAAAATTTTGAGTAAATTACAAATTTGATTTATTTAGTGTAGCGTTTCTTGATATTGTTCCAAAATAAATGTCGATTGACATAAATTTTATTTTATTTTGAACTTGGTTCTTCGCTATTATACTGTTCAATTTTAATGCACTGAACTCATGTACATTTTGCGTCCCACTTATTAATTTTATTGTTTATTGATTATTATGAAATGGATCCCATGGTTCCAAACCCATACCCATCAATCACCCTCCCTCCTTATCATGGGTACCACCACCATCCAATCCCGTTGTAGTTGGGAATTTTTTGATAGGGAATCGTCGGTTTACAACGGACTTCAAATAAACTTTCTTTGATTGTCAACAAAAAGATCTCAGATATTCCACCACACAAGTTGTTACAAAGAAAATCTCATCACCCAAATTGAAAATTAAAGTATCATTCTCATCTTATCCAACCCACAAACGAACCCTTAATGGCAATAACTCTCAAACCGCCTCTAGTTTGAGGAAGGGGGGAGGGGACTGATCAATCAAGTATAAAAAGAATTGGGTAGATTATGTGTTTGAAAGAAAGAGAATTACATAATAATTTTTTATAAAAATCCAGATTTGAATTTTTTTTGCCAATGAAGATAGAAGAAATCTTGATTGGACTTATCATGAATGTACAAACTCCTTATTGACCATACGATCATATGTTTCACATGTTGTAGAGGAGGAGAAGAACATGGGGTGCATATGCTTTGGGAAATGAAAGTGCATGTTGTGATTGACTTAGACTATGCTTATTTTTGATAGACGAGGAACGAAGACGAAGATAGAAGGAGATGCGAGAGGGGGACTCATGGATAGGCATGACAATGAGACGAGTTTGGAGCGAAATCGACCTTGATCCAAACCCTTTTAACAAATTTTAAAATCCGATCCAAACCCGCTCCGTAACTCGTAGGTTTCTTAAATAATCAAACAAATTTTACTTAAATCTTAAAATAATATATATTAAAAAAACATATGTTGATTTAGAAAACATATTACGCACTCGATGACTTTTGATTGGAATTAAAATCATTATTGTAGTAACTTCCGATTAGTTTTTGACCTTCGATTGTATTGATAGAGAATAACGATTGCAAACTTTCTTCCGGTTGATAAATGAATTTATTGATTTATAAATGAAATTGGTGATTGTTTGATGAAATATAAATGAAATGACATTATGATTCTTGGTAAAAAACTGGAAGTCTAGAAGTCGAGTCTTACATAAAAACAATTTAGTCTTTGGGCTTTTATCTTTGGAATTTCGATTGGAATTAAAAGTAAACTTTAGGCAATATAAAATATAAATATATAATTCTAAAATTTACATGGGGCGGGTTATAAACGGAGCGGATCGGTGGTGATCTATAATCGACCCTTTTAATAAAAATGGTCAGCGTTACGGATTGTTAATGAGTAAACAGATTAAAAACTATGCTTTAAACCCATATAATTCATAAGTGTTTGGATCGGATCGGGTTAAAACTCACTCTATTGCCCACTCATGGATGTGTAATAATATAAAAATATAGAAATATAGAAAATTGATATTTTAACAAATAAACAACTCAAGCTAAGGTGTAAGAATTATGGACCAAAATCGACTCAAAATTTCTTTTTATACTCTATCCTAAATTTCTTTTTATACTCTATCCCAAACAACTATACCAATGAGAATGAAATTTGTAATTTACTCTAGAACGTAAAAATGATTTATAACATTAATTTTGATATTAACAATAATATTTGATTGGTGTAAAATAGATTTCAAGTATTTTGTAACTATTGTTAGTGAACAATTACATGATTATGATTGGAGATCTATTAAAATTATGAACGTACCTTTTTATATATTAGTCGTTGACGAGTATAAATAGTTTTTTTCATAAATTAATTTATAGAGACAATTAGTTCTTTTGTGCAAATAGTTTATTACATCTAAACAATTATCAATAAGGCTCATGCTAACAGAAACGAAATCAATAAAAATGAAAAATTAGGATTCTTTACAAATATACATGAATACATGACTGATTGTGCATTATTAATCGTAGAACATTTCTGTATGCACCACATTTGATGTATAGACTTCGTTGTCGTTGAATTGTTTGTCAGAGTTCACTAATACTTTTGTATTGACACATGTTATTCCTCTGGATAATGTCACATAAAGTTGGTCATGCGAGAAACCGATTCTAGAAAATAAATACCTATATTTAGAATTGTTAATCCATGTGCTTTATTGATTGTAATCGCGAATCGGCCGATCAAATAATCATTAACTCATCGCAACTATAATAAATTCTCTCTTCTCCATGGAATCGGCTGATCAAATAATTATTAATCCCATAGACTATTATTTCTCAAGGATAATATAATCTGATTCAAATCTGTTAATTTCCAAAGATGATTATTTTGCTTTCGGCATGTTGTTCCTGGACCTCATTTAGTTTCTTTTTAGTGGGTTGTTTTAGGTTAAAATAAAAGTTCATTACTGTTTGAGGATAAAGTTTTTTGTACATGTTTTTTGGTTAAAATTAGAAGTACAATTATTAATGTTTTTGTTTAGGAAACATATATTCTATTTTTGGGTAAAGTAAGTTTTCAAGTTGAAGTAAATATAAAAGTTTGGTATTGGTTTTTGTTAAATATAAAAGTATGTGATTGTTTAATGTTAAAATAAAATGATAACGTATTACTTTTGGTTACAAATTAAATTATATTCATATATTAATCCCAAAAAGAAACCAAATAACTTTTACAATGTACCAAAAGTGTAGTGTAACCATGTAATATATAAGGATTTTAAGACGAATTAATATGGGCTACTAGATAATAATTAGCTTACCATTTTTTAATATAAAATATGTAACTAAGAGTATGTTTGGGATTGCTTATTGGCTTTTTAAAAAAATCAGAAATTCCTAGCTTTCTAGAAAAGGTTTTTCTTTGTCTCCGCATACCTTTTTAACTTATTGGTTTTTTGAAAAACCAATAAGCTAATAAGTCATTTTAAAGAACACTTCCAAACACCCACTAATAACTTTTTATTTAGATGGATGTTTTCAAAAAGTTTATAACTAACTCAATAATCAATAAACTTAGTAAAACTCTTTAGTCATTTTTCATATATAATTATTTTAACGTTATATAATTAGATACTAAAATCAAAATATCTGTTTATCATAAACTTAACTAGTTTATGCAAATGTTTGGATAAGTAAAAAGATCTTGAAAATTCGAATGGTATTTTATTTATACTGAAATTAAAGGTATATTACCAAAAAAATTATTCTATAATAAGAATGTTTAGATGGAAAAAACTTATTTAAAACAAATTTTACAGCTTAAAAGACCCTGCTCTCATATTATAGAGCGCGAAGATTTGTTTTGAAAGATAATTTTAGGATATTATTACATCATCAATTTTACAAAATATTTATAGTAGTAATAGTTACGTCAACCTTGTGTACTAAAAAGTAAAAACCCATATGTTGATAAAATATCTTTTGACAAACAATAACATGTTATTTTCGTAATTTCCAACATCAATCTCTCATCCCAATTCCCAACTTCCAATCCATCTTGGATCCAAACAAAATAAATAACTAATTTACTTACATTCTAACCAACAGTATTCACAATATTCACTATATTTAATGTAAAAAAGTTGTAAGATAGAAAAAAAAAAAAAAAAAGCACATATAGGTAAAAGATTGGTATCTCAATACATTAAGCCTGGTTTTATTGCTTAACCCATTAAGTCATTATGTCTAGATTAAGTTTAAACGAAACAACAATATATAGCTAGCTGCCAAGATTAAATGCTTAACCTATTAAGCCCATTAAGACAAAAAGAAACAACCTTACTGACTTTAGCAAGAAAGAGCCATTAACATGGAAATACAAGGCCAAATAAATACATCAAGACAACATACAAGTGTACATAATGGGGTGTTACTGTTAGTGTCCAACATCTCTAAGCATCTGTATTCTAACAACTCCTAGTTCCCCCCTATCATTATAAATTATAATTAATCATGTCTATATCTTAAGTTTTGATATTCTTCTTTTTGCTTTTACATAAAGGAAAATAAACAACACTAAGAATATGAAGACAGACAAGTAAACGACTTCCCATGCATTACCAATGTAGCTTTTACTATTCATCATCTGCCACCTCTCCTGTGAGTAATAACAGAAATGATTGAACATTCCATTATGTAATGGAATTGAAAGTTCCTAAAAACAGATGGAAAACTTACAGGCATGGAAGAATCAAGCAACTTTTGATGCTGTTTTTCAAAAATAATCCCTGCATGTTTATACAGTTCAACATCTAAACTGTTCAACAAGGTGATTTGCTTGAGAACTTCTTCAGGAACATGTCTTCGAGCCTGAAAATGTCAAGATTCACAAGATCAATTCACAAAAAGAAAGAAAAAACCATTTGATTATTTATTGAAAACAATTGTAGAAATATACCTCCTTTGTAAAGTTTGCAGGAAAGATCCTTCTAAAAGAATTCATACGCCTTTTTGACTGAGTCGATCTTAATTTAGAAACACAAGTTTCATAAGTTTCCATAAGTTTTCCCACAGTCATCTAATAATCAGTACATAAACTTCCCTTAATCAACATATAAAATAAATAAATTAGAGTGTTGAAATAATGTGAAAAGAATTAAGCGGATACATTTTCATTTTGTTCTTCAATGATTGATGTATTTTTACCCTGTTAATCATGCAAATCAAGACATTGTTAGCACAAGTTTATAAAAGATTATTCTGATGTTCTCATATGTTCATCCACTATCACCTGATTATGAGAAGTATGAAATCCAGTTTTAGAAACCAAAGAACCCTGTTCTGCATCACAAGAATAATATGGTTTTGATCTTTTCATGATTTAGAAATAAACAAGTACTATGTAATTAGATATGATACCTAATTTATTATAATTTACAGTTTCAGTCCCGACTAACTGTGAAATGACTTGTGCACCAACAAAGTTTGCAAACATTGTAGCAGATTCTTTGTGTTCCTCAGTAAGTCCAACATATAGCATATCATCCAACCTTCTCTGATCAAATACACACCCCCCTTAACATGAATAAATTAAACTTGAAATTTTTTTATAAACTTGTTTCAAGACCTTTTAGTTATTATACCTTTGCAACTTGAAGCACATAGTTTCCAAGAGTTTGATAAGTCATTACACAGTGGCGTACATCATGCACCTTCCATGTATTAGAATTGTTTGTCAAACCTGCAATCTATCACCAATAACACTTAGCTATAACAAAAAAAAAAAAAAAGACATTTATATTAGAAAATGTTCGCCTAAAAAGAGGCAAATGCAATAAAGTTGTTGTCTTTATATTGAAACATGAATCAGTTTGACTCGTTTTATTATATATCAATTTGTACATAAAGGGTTACTTATACCTGGAAAGTGGCACCATTATGAACAAGATCCAGAGCTACAGGATGATTGATGAATTCATGTAATGGTGTAACAATTTCCTCCATATTATATGAGTCATCCCCATAAGAATTTGGTGGACCCTTTCTCCTTCTAGCATCTCGCTGTTCATTTTGATCAAATAAATAGATTTTGACATTTATACCCCAATCAACAAAATAAGGAAATTTGTATCAATAAACATAACAGATTACATACCCGAGAAAATAGTTCCTCTCGCATCCATGGAACTAAATACTTCCATGGCCAAATATCGAGTGTGCTTATAACACTTTTCTTTGAACCCAAATTTCCAGACATTTTTGTAGCTGATGTTAAGTTAGGATGCACCAAAAACCTAGCTGCTACCTCTATAGAGAACTCATAAGCACTAAAAACACGATCAATGGGGTTTCTAAGTATGGTTACTACTGAACTTTTCTCTCTGGGGAGTTTGGACATGATGCTATAGTCATCATGAGTTGCAAACAACTTGCAATTCTGTTTGCTGCACAAAAAACATGAAACTACACAACTTAATAACAAGCATAAAGATTACAAAAGGAAAAAATCAAGAAGTTTACAATACATACCGAGGATCAAACCGAAGTTTATCATAAGATCGTGGGCATTCTAGAGAGTTAGAGTACAGTTTCTTCAAAAAACTGTGAAGTGTATAGGAGAGGTAAAACCATAAAGTCATCTGTAAAGCTGTAATGTTTGTGTACTTTAATATATATATATATATATATATATATATATATATATATATATAAGTCTTTGCTGCAGAAAGTTGAAAGATTTACCAATAAAAGTAAGTTCGCCCTCCTGTTCTTGGGACATGGAGGAAGAACAACAAATCCTTGAGAATGTGCCCATCTTTGATATTGGTGGAGTGAAGAGATGAAGACGCCCATTGCTTCACAGTATTTTCGCAATGCTCAAACTCATATGCACTAGAAGATGGATAAACTGAGTACCAATGGAACAATTATAATTAAATGCATTATCTACACATACTTCAATGCAAATCACACTGAATATAAGTTTTTTAAGAACAGCTATATATAGTATATACCTTTGGCAAGAAGCACCAGCAAGAGAGCTAATCTCAGAGCATGATCCATTCACTAGATTCACAAAACCCAACTTCGATCCAATCAACAAGAGGAATAATCGAACAACTGGAACAGATTATATAGTATTATTAATAATAATAATAACCTCAAACTTCAAATACCCATATAAAGTTTTGCAGTTTCTTGATTCTCAACAAAATCTTGTATAATAGGTCAACTAAAGAGGACAAGTAGATACAGAAAGCGAGGGTTTCTGTGAAGTGTGGTTTTCCGTTTCAATCAAAATGTATACAAAATATATTGCTGATTACCTGTGTTCACAAACTCCCTTGAATCTCGGGACTCCACCGGAGAAATCTCAAGATCACTGTGGGTCCCGAATAGCATTCAGATTAATCTCGATAGTCTGAAAGACAAACGCACAACATAAACATTGCAGATTCTCACTCTCCGTAAATCGACAGCGGCACCGTTGCGCAAGGGCGGAAACAAAATCAGAGGCTGATTCGCTTAACGTATGTCTAAGAGCATCATCGTATAAGATCTTTTACAGAGTTTTTGAGGAAACCATTTATAGTTTAGATAACATTTAATACATGCCGTCTTAGATATTAACAATTTAAAACCTGTGGATTTATAAAAAGAAAAAGGGAAATTGAGTAATTTAACATTTTTAGTGTATTTTTGAAAAAAAAAATTGCCGGTTACAAATTCTTATCATTTTAGTCCATGACTCTAATTTAGGCAGTTGACAGATTTTAACCCTAACTTTCATATTTTCAAATTAATGTTTAACATAGTTTCTTTTTCCCAATTATCTATATTGTATTATTAATATAACTATTTTAATATGTTTTCGTATTGATTTATTTTATTATTAATTTTTTTTCAAAAATTCTAAAACTTTTAAGCTTTAAATACATATTTTTTTACAACGGTTTATACACGCACATACTGCACTAGTTTTAAGTCTCCACAGCAAAATTAACTCTTCACAGAGCCAATAGTCCTTTGGTCTTTAAATACCTTGTTTGTTGTCTTTAAAAAATAAATCTCACCTCTAAACTTTAAAACTTCTACAATTAACACCACTCCATGTAGACAAATCGACTACAATAAATAATCGATAACTTCAAAATCGAAGTATAAAACTCAAATATCACGATAGCGATTCAACGGAATATAAAACTATTTGAATAATCAACCAAGAATAAATCGAACGATAAAAAGAAAAAAACACGCGATATTTACGTGGAAACTCAAATCGGGAAAAACCACGGGCGGAGGAAGCCGAGAACCAATTTACTATAATATTCAGTGTTTACAGAGATAGAGGAAGAAAAACAAATATATCAAATATATATTTGTATGAATATAAGAGAAAAATGAAGATGTAATTTGAGGTGTGTTATTTTTAATAAGCTTGGTTTCATTTCCTTTTATAGGCAAATGAATGTATGAATTCAATTGTCTATTACCATCCAAGCTTGACAAACATGCTACCATCCATTCTTGACAAACATGCTACCACCCATTCTTGACAAATTAAAACCACATGTGTAGAATGGTATTCTAGAAATCATCCAATGTTGAAGTTTGAAGGAAACTTCCACAATCTCCACCTTGACTTCAAATGAGACAGGATGAAAAAACTTTAACTTGCACAATGATCATGCAAAACAATTTATCAACAGCTCATCATACTCCAAATCTCTATAAGAATCTGCAAACACCATATGAGAAAAAAATTGATTTTGAAAAGTAAATATACTTCCTCCACCACGAGCCTATCAGGCTCAAATGCGATCTGAAACACCCACCAAATCCAAACATGCTTTGAATTTGGCTATTGGAAGACTTTTAGTGAACATATCAGCAGGATTATCATTGGTGCTGATCTTGTTTACTGTAATATCGCCTTTAGCAATAACATCTCTGATGAAGTGATAACGAACATCAATATGCTTCGTTCGATCATGGAACATTTGATCCTTCGTCAGAAATATTGCACTTTGATTGTCACAAAAAACAGTGTTAACAGATAACTTGTTTGAAAGCTCACCTATCAACCGTTTCAACCAGAGGGCTTCCTTCACTGCTTCCGTAGCAGCCATGTATTCGGCTTCAGTGGTGGATAACGCTACAGTAGATTGTAACTGCGCTTTCCAGCTAACTACGCAATCACCCAAAGTAAACACGTACCCTGTAATCGATCGTCTTTTATCCAAGTCCTTTGCATAATCGGAATCCACATAACCAAGTACTCCATTATCGGTTTTTCCAAACCGCAGACATAAAGAGGAAGTACCTCGCAAGTAGCGAAAAATCCATTTAACAGCAACCCAATGCTCCTTTCCTGGATTCGCCGTGTATCTGCTCACCATGCTTACCGTATATGACAAATCTGGACGTGTACAAATCATAGCATACATAAGAGATCCTACAGCGCTGGAGTATGGTACCTTTGCCATGTATGCTATATCTTCTTCGGTGGTAGGACTTAAGGCGGATGATAGCTTGAAGTGGGCTGCGAAAGGAGTGTTGACTTCTTTTGCGTCATGCATATTGAAACGGTGCAGAACCTTCTCAATGTAGCTTTGTTGAGAAAGGTATAGAGTTCTTGCACTACGGTCTCGCACTATTTCCATTCCTAGAATTTTCTTGGCAGCACCCAAGTCCTTCATATCGAACTCAGCATTCAACTGGTCTTTTATCTTTTGAATCTCCTTTATATTCTTCGTTGCAATTAACATGTCATCCACGTATAAAAGTAGATAGACCATTGAACCATCGTCACACTTTTTGTAGTAAACGCAGCTGTCGTAGGTGCACCTTTTCAGCTTGTGACTGGTCATAAATGAGTCAAACCTTTTATACCATTGTCGAGGAGATTGCTTGAGGCCATAAAGAGACTTCTTCAATTTGCACACGTAGCTTTCCTTGCCAGGAGCTACAAAACCTTCAGGTTGTTGCATATATATCTCTTCCTCAAGCACACCATTTAAGAATGTTGTAGTAACATCAAGTTGCTCTAATTCATAGTCATGAGAGGCAACTAATCCCAACAAGACACGTATTGACGTGTGTTTCACAACCGGAGAGAAAATGTCGGTATAATCGATACCTGGGATTTGACTGTAGCCTTTGGCTACCAAACGAGCTTTATATCTTGGTTTGTCACCAGGGTGGATAGCCTCCTTCAACTTGTAGACCCATTTGCACTTAACTGTCTTCTTACCCTTTGGAGCTGGAACGAGATCCCATGTGCCATTTTTCTGAAGAGATTCCATCTCCTCGTGCATGGCAACCATCCACTTATTAGAATGTTTGGATTGAATGGCCTCGTTGTAGCTTGTGGGCTCCAGAACAGACTCAACTTCATTGGCAACTGTAAGTGCATAAGCGACAGAATTGGCTTGAACATATCTCTTTGGAGGTACAATCTGTCTGCGAGGTCTATCTCTTGCAATGGAGGGACTGTGAGGTTGGCTTGGAGCTTCGGCTGGCTCATGAGAAGAGGAATGTTGATTATTCGAGGGTTGAGAAACCTCGACACCTTCATGAGACTGGTCCTCGAAAGATGAATTTAAAGGAAACTCCACCTCCACTCGAACTTTGTCTTTTTCCGAATTTTCATTTTCTCTGGTCTGAATGTTGGAGACAGGATGAAGCATGGCTTTTTCATCGAAGGTCACATCTTTAGATGTCAAAACCTTGCTTAGCTCCGGGCTCCATAATTTGAACCCTTTAACACCTGTCGGATATCCGAGAAAGACACATTTAATTGCCCTCGGTTCCAATTTACCGTTATCAACTCGGGCATATGTTGGACATCCAAATGGAATCAATTTCGTGTAATCAGCAGGTTGGCCGGACCAAAGCTCAAATGGGGTCTTCTTTTGAATAACACGAGAAGGGGAACAGTTGATAATGTAGCATGCGGTTGAAGCGGCCTCGGCCCAAAAAGACTTCGGCAACTTCGAATGAGATAACATGCATCGGACCTTCTCCATGATGGTGCGGTTCATACGTTCCGCTACGCCGTTCTGCTGTGGTGTATGAACTACGGTGCGATGCCTCGTAATTCCTTCCCTACGGCAATAGGAGTTGAAATTCTTCAAAACAAAATTCCAGTCCATTATCAGTACGAAGGTATTTCACTTCAAAACCTGATTGCTTTTCAACCAATACTTTCCAATCTCTAAAAGTTTGGAATACTTCTCCCTTTGACTTCAAGAAGAACGACCATACCTTTCTTGAGAAATCGTCAATGATCGTGAGCATATAAGAGGCTCCACCTTTCGATGTAACCTTCGCTGGCCCCATAAATCAGAGTGTATGTAGTCAAGTGGCCCTTTCGTCGTATGTTTGCCACCGATAAAACTCACTCGCTTCTGCTTTCCAAATACACAATCTTCACAGAATTCAAGTTCGATTGATTTGTGCTCCCCGAGCAACCCCCTTCGACTTAGTTCATTCATACCATGGTATGACATGTGAGCGAGCCTGAGGTGCCATAGACGAGAGCGATCAGCGTTGGAGAGGGATTTAGAACATACCGAGACTTCGCCGGAGATAACTTGCCCATCCATAATGTAAAGGTTTGCGGATTTTCTAACTCCTCGGATGACCACAGAACCTTCCTTGAAAATATGGAGTTTCCCGTCTTTGCCAACAAACTCGTAACCTTTCTTCTCGAAAGTACCGAGACTTAGTAAATTTCGCCTAAGACCGGATACGTGCTTCACATCTTGAATCGTTCGAACAACGCCATCGAATATGCGGAACCTGAGTGTACCCCGTCCAATAATACGACACGAAGTGTCGTTACCCATTAGAACGTGGCCTTCGTTAACTTTTTCATATGAATGAAAAACGCTTCGGTTGGAGCTCATATGAAAAGTACACGCTGAATCAAGTACCCACTCACTCGTGGTCATTAAACCGTAGTCTGAAACGGATAGAAGCTCGCCATCGGAACCAGTTTCGGCAACATCGGCTTCAACGGTGTTATTGGTTGTTTTTTCCTTTGCGATTGCCTTTGCTTTCTCCTTGTTCTTTAACTTGAAACATTCATCGATCAGATGTCCCTTCTTGTGGCAATAATTGCAATACTTGCGATTGACTTTGGACTTAGATCTAGACCGGTTTTGTGAAGAGCTACCTCTCTCGTTAGGTCTCCCTCTGATGTTGAGACCTTCGGCTTTAGAATCGCTGCTACTGTTCCCAACTATCTGCTTCATCTTTTCCTTTGAATCAAGAGCAGTCATTACCTCGTCAAGGACAAGAGTATCCCGAGAATAGATAATGGTGTCACGAAAGTGATCGTAGGAGTCTGGGAGAGAAGATAATAAAAATAACGCCAAGTCTTCATCTTCGTATTTGACGTCCATATTCTCCAGATTTCCTACAAGCTCTTTAAAGGTAGAGAGGTGATCAGACAAAGAACTACCTTCACCCATCTTTAGGTTAAAAAGTCGTTGCTTCAAGTGTAGCTTGTTGGGCAAGCTTTTCGTCATAAGTAGCTGCTCGAGTTTTAGCCAGAGAGCCGCTGCGGATGTCTCTTTCAACACATCTTGGAGAACGTCGTTAGAAAGAT